CTAACTTTCTGATCCATGTACAATTTACTAATCAATCTTCTTTCACGCCAATCAATACCTGTTTCCTTTAGGATCTGCATTAATTTGGTCCAATTCACACGGTCAGATACCTTCTGCCAGTCTATAAAGCAAGCACACAGTTCTTCATCTATCTCCAAAGTTCGTTCTGCTATAATTCTCATCATCCCAATTGCATCCCTGGTTCCTTTTCCTCTTCTAAATCCAAACTGATCTTCTCCAAGTACATCCTCTATTTTCCTTTCAATTCTTCTTTTAAGTATCTTTGCTATTATCTTTGCTGTATGTGCAATAAGACTTATTGTGCGATGGTCGCTGCATTTTGTAGCTTTTGTCTTTTTCTTTAAGGCAATCATTGTAACTTCTGTAAAGTCCTTGGGCCACTCTCCACTTTCATATATGGTGTTCATTAGTTTTGTCAGTGTTTTCAAACCACCTTCTCCCAGTAACACAAGCACATCTCCACGTACATCATCATCTCCTATAGCCTTTCCATTCCTCATGTCCTTGATAGCTTTTTCCACCTCACTTTGTAAAATATATGGTCCTTTCTCGTCTGTATCTACTTCTTCCGCTGGTTCAACTTCTAAGGTTTCAGGCCGATTAGGTCGATCATAGAGTTCTGTAATATAATTTTCCCAAATTTTCAGCACTTGCCTCTGATCTACTATTCTATTCCCCCGGTGGTCTTCGATGCCAATATTTTGAATCCCATGATTCTCTTTCCATCCTAGTTCTTTTGTCTTCATGTACATCAAATCATAACGTCCTGTCCTTTGAAATACTATAATCTCATTACGTATCTTCTCATGATATTCCTTTTTGGCCCTGTCCGTGGCTCTTTTCAATTCATTCCTCAGTCTCCTGTATTTCCTCCTGCCTTCTTCATTGTTTACATTCTTCCATTTTAAGAAAGCAGTCTTCTGGGATTTGGCACCGTGTATATGTGGTGCTAACCGACGTTTCGGAGGAATGTATCGCCTCCATCTTCAGGGTAGAAGAAAAAATATAAGAAATCTGCAAGCGAAGAGAGAAACGTCGGTTAACACCACATATACACGGTGCCAAATCCCAGAGGACTGCTTTCTTCATAGTCACCGCCGTGAAAGCCTCAAATCTTACATTCTTCCATTCTTACTCCTCCATTTTACTCATCATCTCCTGTGTAATCCATGGTTTTCTTGCTATCTTCTAGACTTTACCAACCAATTCGCTAATAGTATATAACATGCACTATTTTATATTGTTCCACTGCACTTCAGCATTTCCGCTTTCACTTTCAATTGCGCTGAGTTTCTCTTCTAAGGTCTCCTGCACGCTTTGTCTGTGAGCATATATAACTTCTCCAAATCCCATCTTGGTCTGCGCTTTTGGAATCTTATAATTTTCTTCAACCTGGTTTGAAACTTGGCAACCAGTAAGTTGTGGTCAGAGTCAATATCTGCCCCAGGCAGCGTTTTCACATCCTTCACATTGTTTCTGAATCGATGTTTCACAAGGATGTAGTCCAGCTGATGCCGCCTCCAATCCCCAGGTGCCTTTCATGTGTAAAATCTTCTCTTTGGCTTCTCGAACCAAGTGTTGGTAACAATCAGTCAATTTTTTTTCACAAAAGTCAATAAGCATTTGACCCCTGTGATTCCGTCTTCCTAGTCCATGTGATCCAACAATATTCTTGCCAACGTGACGGATAATTTGCCGTTGACAGATGTGTAGAATGGCGTCTGAGTGCTGTCCGGATATCTGCCTGGAGGAGTTGAGGAAATGCTCAGGAAGGGATTTCCACGCTGTACATTTGCACTACAAACCCGTACGAGTATATCCGCTGGGCAACAAAATATGCTGCTTTTATCTCGTTAAACGATTCAGCCAAGGAAATTAAATTTTCACATATCATATGTGTTTCTAACGTTGTAGCGATTTGTACGGATGAGAGGAAGGGCAGAGCGGTATGGTATTTCATCTCCTCTCCCCCGCTGGAACCCCCACCCGAAGAGAATACAGTACCGGGAATTGAAAGATTTCATTATGAGGAGTTCCGTGATTTGTGACCTTTATCAGACATTAGGATGCTCGCATGGGTGGGCATGTAACAGTAATGCGAGAAGCTAGACGTGAATTGCTTGGATTGAGGCGGCTCAGAATAGGGTCCAGTTGCGGTCTGTTAATGCACACAGTTATGACTTTTGAGGCCCACAAATTTCTTGAAGCCCCGAGGAATCGTCAGCTCGTCAGGAAGGGCTGTTCTCAGTGTAGTTCGTTATATGAGCATGAGTATTTTGTTATGTATCGAAAGGCCTGCTAAGACTTTTATTATATTTACAATTTGAATTTAAAGTGACTACTTAGGGGTCTGGTACCGTGTGCACTGTGTGCCAGTTGTCGCTGTAGCGTAGTTGGTTGTGGCACAATGCTACAAGCCGGAGGGTCGCCGGGTCGATTCCCGATGAGGTCATTGGATTTTTAAATTTATCTGATCCTTCCAGCCGCACTGTGGCCCTGGGGTCGACTCAGACTCTAACAGATACGAGTGCCTGGAATCTTCCCAGGGGTGTACAGCCGGCGCGTGAGGCTGACGACCTCACCACCATCTTTGAGTCGATTGTCTAGAAAATGTGGGAGCCTCGACTTCTCACAACCCTATAGGCCCCACGGCCTGACTTGTTGGAAGTGCTGACCTCGCTGACTGGGTCACTCTGTTTGCTTGCAGCAGGAGAGGACAGTGGGGAACGCCAACGGCACAAGTCCTCTGGATAACATGAGGAGTCTGGAACACTACCTGAATGACCTGATGCGTGGGGCAGGTGACACGCCGGACCACCTCAAAGGTGAGTATTTAACATTTTCTCTGCAGGATATGAAACGTGTCCTGTTTTCTTTGCCCTCTCTTTCTGTACACTAAGCTGTGGTATGTAATCAGGAGTCAGGATGGCGTGGTCGGTATAATAATGAACAGTAAACAACGATTATATCCCTAAAGAACATTAACGGTTTTGTCCTTACAGTGGGGACCAGTCGTGTTTTCTAGCATCAGGAAATGAATAATTAAATATTATTCAGACAGATTTTAGATTTTTAAAAGAGTACCCATAATCTGGAGTCCGTGCCACTGGACTGGAGCATGCATTCAGAGCAGTGGTGCAAGCGTGGTGCCTGCCTTATGCAGGGTTCTTTCTTGGCTTACTCTTCGATCGTGAAGACAGAGGCGATATGTTTTTCCGAAACGTTTGTCGTCTTTCTGCGGACTACACAGGAGATAGAACTCATCACACTTACTTCCGCGCTAAGCTTCGAATCCAGCATAGAATGTCATGTTGTCTGTTTGGTTACTGTTTTGAAGGCACACTTGCTTCTCTGCTTGTGTGTGATTGCTGATATTACAAAGCCAACTTCTTTTTGTCCCATGTAGTAACATTGCTCAGGAAGAAGGAGCGTCCACAGACTGGAATACAGTGGCGGAAGAGCACTGAAACCTGTAGCCTTCATGTACAAATCATTAAGTCTTTATACTGAGGTACAGGTCGGTAATCCTGCTCTTTAACAGACAACGTCGGGCGGCATCCACTAGAACCGTAACAATGGCGTTTACTTTCTAACCCAGTTTAACTGTTGACACTGTCTCGGTCCTGCGTAACAACGTCGTGTGCTGAAGTTGCTGAATCCGAAACCACTTGAAGTTTCTAGGTACTCGTAATTTAATGCCGATCAGAGTGGCAGTGCGGTCTAAGGGCGGCCGCACACCAATTGCATCAAGACATGAGACAAAGGACCCAGTCTAGCTTCATTCGTGATTCGTCAGCATGAAGCTCACGTCAGCATCGTGACTTAAGACCGGTGTGCGACGGTTTTCATAATCTTGTCGTTTCAGCTGTGCTCCTATCTTTGCGTTATGTCGCAGACATCTTGTCTTGGCTGTTACATGTCTTGACGTATGCCGGTGTGCGGCCTACCTTAGTCATGAAACCCCCTCGCACAATGGGGTCGTGGGTTCGAATCTCACTCGAGGCATGGATGTTTGTGTGCGTTTATTCTGTATTTATGTTCTTCTGTGTGTAGGGGCTAATCCCCCGCCCAAGGAGTCGTACCATGTGTAGAATTACGAAACGAAGAAAGGTCCAGAAGGGCTGTAGAGCCGAAGATAGATGGGTGAAATTGCTCTGGTCTCCAGGTAGATGACCATTTTCTTACTGGCGCGAATCTTACGCTGCGATTAAACTGGGAACAGAGCAGTAAGTTGCAGGATAGTTCTTAACATTGGACCCATATCACTTCCGGCCGATACATGCTTCCTGTATTCGTGCTTGTTGTATCTATATTGACACCGTAAAGTTTCGTTTTGTATTTAAGATGTACGGTTTTAAACATTTTATCATTATGATGAAAAAATATGTTGGCGCCCCAGTGGTCAGTGGCATACTTCGAAGAGCACGGAAAGGTTTCTGATCTGAACTGAACAGACTCAGAGGCGGAATACGTTGATACGATACGTACATTAAGGCGAGCAAGATATGCCTCCCCATTTGCGACACTACTGACTCGCACGGAATTTCTCTCCATCCGGAAGGATAGGAATCCATTCTAGGTTAGTCCTTTGGTCATGGAAATGTGCTGTCCGAAGGAGGCTAGATGGTGAGAACATGGAACGGTGTGGCAAGATAACTTACACAGCCATTCACTGCTCCTTCAGTTGACCAGTGAAGTCTCCAAATTTTGTTTCATCCAGAATCATTGACTACATAGCAGTTGCTTTGCCCATCGCGGAGTGCTGTTAGCGTGGCACGGTGCAGCGCCCAAATGCGACAATACATTGACGGGCGATAACATTTTAAATGTTTATCCGAAATGCTTAGGATGCTGTCGGGCGTCTTATCAATGTAGATACTCCATGACGTTATTTCAAGGGCCCCTGCCACACAGTCCCCACTGTGCTGATAGCTCCAAATTCTGGAGAGATAATTCTTGCAACCGGATAAAAGAATGCTAGTGAACACAGGTAAAAATGTTTTCTGTTCAAATTTATATAAGAGTACTTACGAAAGAAGGAAGATAGAATTTGTTCCCCGTTCAAAACCTGGTTTTCCGCAATGAAATATGTGCTTACGCATGAATACAGTTCACGCTGACAATCTCGTATAAGGTCTTCTTACGAGTTCTTCTCCCTCCTAGATGCGATCGCTGTCCTGATCAGCACCCTCTGATGGCGTCCTTGGTTGGCACCTTTTTCTTCTGGCATAGCGGCCGTCTGCCGCCAATGTTCTTTATTCCCGTTCCTCCTTTCCAGGTTTCTTGTTCAGCATTGACCCTGGTTGAATATTTCTTTACGAAATCTCCCTTGCGCCGTGTCACACCTGTACGGCTAGTCATAGTTCTGTTCGCAGCCAATTCGTGCCGCGGTCCACACTTTCCTTGGGTCGTAGATTTCCAGAAGATGTTCCTTTTGCGCCATGCCACTGTTGCAGTTCGGGACACCTTCCTGCTGGTTTTCTTCTGACGTGCCACTTCCACACGGTGGCTCGTCCCTCTGCGGGCGACGGCTAGTCTTCTTCGGCACCCATCCTTTTCCTGGGTCAGTTTCTTCATTTTTAGCTGGTTTCGGTCCCTACGCCTTTTCTTCTTCGGTTCTCCGACCGGCATTACTTCGGCGTGTATTATGGGGACTTCTCGTTGTTGGGCCACCTCAGGTTTCCTGTCCACTGAGGTTGGCTCTTCTTCTAGAAGTGCCTCCGTCGTTTCTCGGCAGGCCATCGTCTCCATGTCTCTTTCTGGTTTGGCTTCGGCAACCATCTCCTTGTTGGCTTCCCTTTCTGCGGCAGTCTTTTCTCGCCAGGCGGCCATCTCTTCTCGCCAGGCTTTTCTATCGGCCTCCATTTCTTCCTTCTCGGCTTTTCCATTGGCCTCCATTTCTTCCTTGTCGGCCTTCCTATCGGCCGCCGCCCTTTCTTAGTTGGCGTCTAATTTTGCTAGCATGACGTCTTCTTTTTCTTAGTTGGCAACCATCTTTTTCAGTAGGAGTTCCATCAGCTGTTGTGATTCCATTTTCGTATGACAGCACTGTAAACACACGCTTCAGTCTTCACTTCAATAATCGCTTCAGTCGATGAGCTCCGACGAAATTATGACGTGTTTAAGTTCATAAATTCTGACACCAAATTGCTACTTGTTGGGCGTGTCACGCGACAAATAACTTTACGCCGTTCTGGATATTGCAAATTTATTGTACTCTCGCTCTTACAATTACACAATTTACAGTTTCACAAGTACTTCCATCTGCAGTATCACAATTACTTCTCCTGCTGTAATGATTACCATTCACTCGATACAACCGAACCCGGCGACTGATAGACTGAAACTGATTTGTTACTCTCTATCTAGTTACTCTTATAAACCCTCAGTCGGACAGCTGAAAACCCACATCGCTTCACTGTTGCGTAAACGCCGTGTTTACAGGCGTTGCTGGGGAACGCTGCCGAGAGTTGTTTATAGCTGCGTAGTAATCGCGGTGTCCCCTGTTACGTCACCGCGAGGGAGGGGGACGGAGTGTTGACTGGCCTGTTACCGTAGCAGCGGCAGTTGCTCCGATGCTGTTACGTCACCGCTGGAAGGGGTTGTCCTGCATAGCGCAAATACGTCACAATATGTACTGCTGTTTGAAATAGATAAGAAGTCACTGTAGAACCATTATTTAAAAACTGTAAAAGACAAGAAGCTGAAATCCAGGGTCTCCTTCATCCATCTGAAGCCAGTCTTAAATATTTTCTTGCATGATTTTAGTCTTTGCAGCTTCCCTCAACACAGTCTCAAATTTCTCTCTCTAATCCCTGTCACTCCTACATCCTATGTGTTTCTTAAAGCATGTACTTAGCTGTGAACAGAAGTTTTCATATTTCTATCCTGATTATCCGACATCCGGATTAGCGAGGGTTTACTGTACTGTTAGGCCTAGGAGCAAGCATTATCCGAACTGTCACCGGCTGAGCCTCGAACCAGACTCGTCTAACCGCATGACACGTATAAGCGTGCAGGTCTCTACTGAAGCAGAATGAGCATTCCCAAACTCTGTCACGGGATTGCAGTCATGTGACGTTTATGAGTTCATTTCTCAGTTCAGCTGCAGGTTACGGCACATTCCTTCCTGAGTTGCCTCTGGAGCCTCAACCCGTGAATGCTAACCTTTAAGGCTCTCATGTAAATAACTATCAGCTTTGAGTTACGAGGCATGTAAAACTCCATTTCATTTAGGCAGAGCTGGCTCGAAAACCACGAAACTTGCAGGAAAAGATGGGATCACATAAATGGTTAATTTTTCCTCTACAAGTGTTGTTAGAAATAGTTTCTTCTTCAGGTGAAGTTGTCCCTGTGCTTAACTAATTAGGCACTACGCCGTGAAGACATATGGAGGAGTGGCTGTATAGACCCGCGTTTTCTTGTTCTCGGCACAAGTTGGAGGTAAATGGTCAACTTCACGCCCCGGCCTCCTTACGCCTGGGGCATGAGCCCACGGTACCCATTGGATAGGAGGCTGGATGGACCCCAGAGCCGGTCTGGAAGACATGCAGTAGTGAAAATTCTTGGCTCCACCGGGACTCGAGCTCGACCCCTCCGTCGTCCAGCCTCTAGCCAGCCTCTATACCGACTGCGCTATCCAGGCTCCAATATATATATATGGTATTCAGGAGTTGAAGCTCTTCTGGCAGCATCTGGATACGAAATTTCATGAATATCCGTTCAGAGGTTCTCGTGTTGTTTCATGCGGACTGACTGACGGTCGAACAGGCTCACATAACGAAGCCAATACTCGAATTTTTGCATAAGTCTTCTTTGCCAAACC